CACACACACACACACACACACACACACACACACACACACACACACACACACACGGAATCCTTGCCCTGAATAAGGCTTGGTGGTTGCCAGGCCTACAGCCTCTGCAGGGTTATAAAGTTGAGACTTGAAATCTGGCTTGTTCCTCTGAAGAAACCACAGCTGTCCCTCTTCTCCAGTGCACTAGCCCCCCTACCTTAGAGTCCTTCTGCTCTCTCCCAGGTCTCTGAAAAGACCTTTCTTGGCACCTACCCCCATTTCAAATCAAGAAACCAGTTTGATGGAGGCCCCAAGAAGGCCTCCTACTAGGTACTGGGACAAGGAAGAGGTTGGCTTCAAGCTTTGGATTTCCCACCACAGGCTAGAGTGTACACTCCCTGACTCCAGGGCCAAAGACGGCTGAGATAGCAACCTCCAAAGCTGAATAAATATTTAGCCCTACTGTAAGTGTGGTACCCGCCGCCGGTGGTGCCTGGGAGAAAGCTACCTGGCAGAGCCCAGAGGGGAAGCTCCCTTTCTGTGCGTTTCATTCCCACCAGAAGTTTCTCAGTTTGCAGTGCTAGACTGTCTCTCCTCTCCAGAGCCAGGGACTGCATAGCAGGCGGCTGCACCAATCCGGAACGTCAGGCCTCAAAGTGCAAATAAAGAAATGGTTGTAAAGACAGATGGGTGTGTGCACATAGGCATAGGGCAAGAGTGTCCTCGCCAAAGTCTTGAAATCAAATAATTTTGACTTGAGAAAGCATGACTTAACCCCAGTGCCTGCTGGGTATTTTGACAGAGGTGAGGGGGATGTACACAACTAAACTAAACTGCAAAGAATCCAGTTGTTGGTAAAAATCCAGACCTTGAAGACCAGCTCTCCCTACCCCTGTGTGTGTGTGTGTTGCTTTCTCTTAAGTGTACTGGGATGAGGCACCTATGCCTTCTCCTCTTCCCACATTAAAAGAAGGTGGGTACGGAGACTCCCCGTCCTGAGCCTAGCCTTGGGCCAGTCTCTCCTGCCAGGAATAATGTGCTGTGTCCGGAGGAAATAAGCTTTTTCACTAATGGAAAGCTCAACCGAGGCTTTCTTGGAGGAGATGGACTGGTGGGATCTACAACAGGGATGGCTCTGGCTCTGGCTGGTAAAAGTTAGCTACCTATATCCGCCTCATATTTAAAAGCTCCTCCAGAGGCTGGGCCACATTTCCCAGCACAGCTCGGGCTATACCACAGCCCAGGCTATACCACAGCCCTGTTTACGCACCCTCAACCACCCACTGAAGTATGCTCCCCTCTTTCCTATTTCTAGCCCTTGTCACAGAGCCTGCCTTATCAGCTTAGCACTGGAAAGAAAACAGAGAGGTAGAAAGGGGAGGTCTTTAGACACCAGACAGTTGCCCCTGCCTCTTGCCATTCAGGTGTTTCTGGGCACAGGAACAAAGTGGTTTTCCCATTTCTGTTGCAAGATTCCTCTGCTTTTTCACACTTGCATCCACAACAACGCTGTGCAAATATGACGTGCTCATGGGCCTGTTTTACAGAAGGCAGAACAGCCTTTAATCCTCTGGGAAAACTGGAGGCATTCCCCAAGCTGCAGGACACCTTGCTGCCTGACCCTTTCCAGTTTCTCTTTCTCCTGTTCCTGTACTGCTGGAGTATAGACACCCACCATTGCCTGCCACACAGTTACAGCGTAAGCTGGATGGCTGGCTTGTCCGCCTTTGGCCTCATAGTCCCCAGCTAGGAAGGGTTCCTCTGTGACAGGGGCCCTTCACTTGTGGGTCATGATTCATAACAGTACCAAAATTACAGCTATAAAGTGGCAACGAAAATAATCTCATGATTGGGGTTCACCACAGCGCGAGGAATTGCATTAAAGGTTGCAGCACAGAGACCCAGGGCTCTGAGGCATCCCGCAACCCTCCACTCTTCCCACTCTCAAAGTCCCAAGCTGGTCTTCTAGATTCTTCTTTACCCAGTAAACACCCTTGCTCAAGGCAAAATTGTATTTGGCCGGTGGGTTCTTGCTCAGAATCTTTTCAATTTGTGTGGGAGAAGTGATCTAAAGATCCTGCTAGTGTCCAGTACCGCCCCGGCCACCAAGCCGCCTGAGAGTCACAGTCTCGGTCTTGATTTGACTTCAATCAACCAGCCGACCAGGTTTTCCCCAAAACAGGTAAAATCAATTACAAGAAGAACACCTCTGCAGAAGGAAGTACGTTATTTTGCACAACAGAGGGACTTCTAAAAACAAAGACTGCTCCAGACAGTGTGAGAACGGGTGTCACCACACAGAGTGGGCAGTTCCTTACACCCTAGGCTACCCTTTCTCTGACTGCATTCCTGTGACAGCATTGCTAGAAAGGGGTTGTCAGAGTTAGGGCATTGCTTCCTTCCTTATGCTGGTCCCACAATTTCAGAGCCATCTCTAGAGCTAAATGGTGCCATGCTGACTCCTTCAAGGAATATCCAGCTTTAGAGTGAGTCACCTTCTATGAAGCAGAGGTGGCCCCCCAATTGGGCAGCATCTGAGCAAAGCACTGGGAACATTTGCTCAGGGCAGCACCCACAGAAGGCCCCCTTCTGCAGGAACCCGGAACACAGCCAAGTGCCTTCTTACACACACCAGACTGAGAGCTTGTTTAAATGGCTACTGTGCTGTACACACAACAGCGTCCCGGTTTTTGGTAGTCTTTGCTGGCCAGCTCCCAAACAAGAATAGTTTAGTTAATCCTTTACCCTAGTCCTCCCCTGCCAGCTAATCTTTGGTTTGCATGAACTAACTGACAACATAACATTTACTCTTTTGATAATTTCTATTTTTAAAATCCAGTATGGCTGGACGAGGCAGAAGGCCTGATCTCTATTTTGTAGCAAGCGGATAGGAAGGCTCCTTGCAGAACATCAGCTAACACCACTCTTCCCGGTGGAAAGGAGACCAAGGAAAAGCTGTTGTTATAAAACCCAATTTTTAAACTTTTCATTGAAACTTCAGCCAGTAGGAAATCACTTTTGCTTCTCAGATCAAGGGGACCAAGAACTTTCTGCACAAGGGGAGAAATCCCGAGAAACGTTCCTTGGTCCCAGCTGGGTATGCTTTAGGACCGCTGGATGCCAGAGCAGAGCTCTCCCAAGGTGGGCCTGGGAGACAGAGGCCGAGCCACCGTCTCTGGCCACTTTGGCTCCCGGGTCCGCTGGTGCTTACTCCCGGGCCCCTCCGGGACTGGAGGCTGCTCCCGCGGACAAGACATCTGATCTTCGCCACTGTGGTGGAGAAAATTCAGCTAAGATTCAGACAAAGTAAACAGGCTTAAGGAAGGCAGCCGCAGAGGGGGCTTACTGATTTCGAGTGCAGTGCCCCGCGCAACAGCACTGGTGGAAGAGCCCTGTGGCCGAGGGACACCTGTCGCCACCGGAGCAACGACTCTTCAAATCCCTGTCTTCCTTCCGCGGCGCTGGCTTTCCAAGAGGCCTGCCCTGCACTACCAGCCCTAAAGCCTGGTGACAACAGGCCTCGGAGCCCAGTGATTTCTGACAATGTCAGAATCCCTCAGCCCGGCCACAAACTCCAGACCTGATTCCCTGCGGTGCCTGACCCAGCCGCCTGTCACCCGCTGGAGCGTGTGCACCCAGCAGGCCGCTATTTCCTACAAACCCGAGTCCGCAGGAGAGCTGCGGCCCGGTGACAACTGCTCGCTGTAACGCTTTTAAATCCTGAAGTGTTACAATCAGGCCCGCCCGCCACTTTTTTAAATAATCCGTTGTCTCTTAATGGCAGTGCCCAAGCTTATCCAGTTTCTTGTCTCCTGTCTATACCATCGCTTCCCTGAGCAAAGGGAGGCGAGTTGGGAAAACGATATATACGAGAGACTCGAATCTGCTCACAAACGCTCGGATCGGCAGCGTTGGCCTGCGGTGCGCGGGCCTTGCTGTGCATCCAGCCTTGTAGAGGGTAGAGCAGCGCGTCCTTTTCCGCCAGCAGAAACAGAGAGAAAAGGAAAAAAGAAGCTAAAGCAGAGACGAGAGAGAAGTAGGGAGAAGGGAAAAAAATTATAATGAAGAGAGAGAGAGAGAGAGAGAGAGAGAGAGAGAGAGAGAGAGAGAAGAAGAAGAAGAAGAAGAAGAAGAAGAAGAAGAAGAAGAAGAAGAAGGAGAAGAAGAAAAGAAAGGAAGGAAGGAAGGAAGGAAGGAAGGAAGGAAGGAAGGAAGGAAGGGAAAAGAAAGGAGGAGAGAAAGAAAGAAAGAAAGACCAGCATGGACTGGAGGTATGGACGGAAGAAAAGAAAGAAGTCAGTGAGAGGAGAGGGCCGGGAAAGGAAGCGGGGAAGAACAACCGGAACGAACTAGCCTGCCCGCACCAGCTTGGCAAACACCAACCCAGGGACAACGCTCGGTTTTTCCGACTCTGCCCGGGGCTTATAGGTGATTGGGTCGCCTGGCCCGGCGCAGCTTGTCCCTCTCCCTTAGCTTGGGCCCGGGAAGAGGCCCTGGCGCGGCCTCCCCAGACACGGCCACAGTAGCCAGGAGGCCGCGTGGGCTTCTCCGCGCACGGAAGCCTCCTTCCTGCCGCCGGCTGCCCAACTCCCCCGCGCCTCCGGACGCCCACCTGCAGCCTCACCTTCCGGGAAGACGGCGCGCATCTTCAGGTAGCTGGTGGTGAGTCGGATGATGGACGCTTTGTCCAGCTGCGAGGTGATGGCCGAAGGCAGCGGGAGCAGCTTGGCCAGCTCGTAAAACTCGCCATTTTCCTTCTCCCTCCTGGTTTTGGCCGCATTTTTGGACTTCTCCTTCATCGCGCCTCGGCTCTGGGCATATTAGACCTCGCTGCGCTCCAGGCCCGCGGAGTCCCGCTTGGGCTGCGGCAGCCGAGATGGGGACAGGGACGCCAGGGGTCAGGTGAGTCGGGGGGTGCCGGGCTCGGGCAGGTACAGGGGACGGGCCTGGGGCACCCAACGGCTTCTGCACGGGCGCCAGCCCTGAGTCCGTCGCAAACCAGCTGCGCAGTCCCCCTCTCTGCCTGAGGCTGGAGGCTGGACCGTCCGGTGTGGACCTGCTTCCAGCTCGCTCTCGTCGTCTGCGGTATCTCGGGCCTCCTGGGGCTGTGGTTGGCGAGCGAGCAGGCGGCGACCCTGTTTAGTCCTTAAAGGAGGGCTTGCACCCGCTGCCGCGAGGGCCCTCGGAAGGCAAAGGTGGCAGCGGCGGCGGCGGCGGCCGCGGAGCCATGGAGCGGGAGCGGAGCGAGGTGGCAGTGGCCGGAGCCGAGCCTGAGCTCGGTGCGCTCTCCTGCCCTCCTCGGCGGTTCCGGCTTCCTTAGCCCAGGCGTCTGGAGCCCACGATCGGTGGCGGGGCGCAGCTGCTCCGCAGTCCACGTGTGACCGAGCTGCGTTTGTTTATGGCGGACCCGCCTTCGGGCGGAGCACTGGACTGCGCGGGGCCGCCGGGGGGGGGTAAGGGGAGGGGCCGCGGCGAGGGCGGTGAGTCTCGCCTCCGACCCCCGCCGCGGCCCGGGAGTCACCGGCGCGCCTCCGCGTCGCCACCTCCAGGGACTGTCCCCCACGAGAGACCGGCGCGCTCCCGGGGTAAGGTAAGCCGGGGTGAGAGCACGGGAAGCGTCGCGCCTACACGCTCCGAGGTTGAGTGTCAGGGCCTGGGATGGAGGATAAGCGGCCCGTGCGGCGAAGAAGGAAGGAGGGAGGGCTGCAGGAGCTGGTTTTCACGGAGGCTCCGGGCAGGTCACCCGCGGGCCCAGAAAAGGCGGCGCGAACAGCTGGCCAAGTGCCCGGCGAGGGGGGTGGCAATTATGGTCCCACGCTCGCACCTTCCTTGGGTGGTCGGTCCGCGAGCCTAAAGGGGTGGCCCGAGAGAAAATTACACCTTTCCCCCCTACTCATCCACACGCACCCGTGCACAGGAGTGACCTTTTAGCCCCTTCTCTTCTAGAAACCAGGGTGAAAAGAGGCGCCTTCCGGAGAAGAGCGAGAGGCCGTGGGCGCACGGGGTGGGCCAGAGGGCACGTGGGGGTGCTCAGCACAAGGGGCGCTAGCGGGAACAGGGCAATCGACCTTGGGCCAAAGCTTCAGGGCCATAGTAGACCCAGGGTCACCGGGAACGCTGACGCGACCCTCAGAGGTGGAGCGGAGGCAGTTGGGGGAGACTCGGTCACCGAGTGCAAGCATTCTCCCACTGAGCCACACTAGGTTAAATAATCTTGTGGTATTCCCCCCCCCCCCCCCGCTGCGGAGGCCAGGATAGGTGCGCTTCAGTTCCGTCAGCACCCCGGCGGGGGCGGTCGCCCGAAGCCACCCACACTGCTCTTTGGAGCCTGAATCTTCCGACGCGGGTCAGATACCACTTACCAGGAGTCTTGGATCCTAGACAGAGACGCTGAGAAGTCTCTGGGAAGTTCTTTTTGTAGTCGTGGTCCCCGTGACTCTCTTGGTGGCTGTAAAGTTATGGGATGCAAGAAGTCTCACCTTGAGAACCCGGTGCGGGACACGGGATTTCCAAGTCCTAGCCACTGTCCCATTCCTCCTCACACCCCCGGCTCCAGTCCTCTCCTAAGTCTGAGAGAAGTTTGCAAGTCGACCAGCTCCTGGTACCTGCAGACCTCCCTCCCCCGCGCTGGGAGAGCTGGGCCTCCTAACCGCTTGCATAAAGCAGATTCTTCTGTCCTTTTCCTGGGACCCCATTTGAAAACTCGAAGTTCGAAGGCCTTCGAAGGGTTGTAGACTACTGTGGGTTTCGCGCGATGCACGAACCCCGGCCCTTCGCTCCTTAATTAAAAAACAAAACGAAAAAACCGGCGCGCCGGGTGGTGCGAAGTCGCACCAGGCGGGAGCACAGAGGAGCTCACTCTTCTGCGTTTGGAGCTGGGTTCTGCGCTTGTGGAATTTTCTGGGTCCTGCAGTAGTATGGTGCACGTGCACGGTCGGGGCAGTTTGCGGGTGGCGCGGGTACCCAGTGTCCAAACCTGGAGCCCTTGTCGGGAGTTCGGTGTGGCACTGTGCCTTTAGCGACTCCGGACAAGCAGGGGCTGCGGACTCACCCTGCCGCCGCTTCGCGGGCCTCCGTGGAATGCGCCCCTGCACTCTGCAGCTACGATAGGGTTTAACGCTTCTCCCACGCCCAGGATTCCCGACCCTCAATTATGGACTCCCGAGAATTCCTCTCCGGCTTGAAAGGGATTACCCAGATCATAGAAACATGGCTAAGTGGAGGTGGGAGAAACCCGGGAAGAAACAAGAACTGAAACTTCTCAAACGAATTTTCCAGTTTGTAACAGGAAAGCGTATCTGAACTCTTGCGACTGGATTTTCGCAGTGGCAGCCGTTTCCGCATCCGAAAGACAGTTTTAGCTTTTGGAAGGAGATGGCAAACGCGATTGAAGTGGATATGGGATAGCTCCAGGCCCCCAAACAGGCTCCACGTAAGCCCTCTCCAAACGTCAAACATAGGTTCACATCACACTTCGGGGCTATAGAACGGTGGTCCCCAGCGCCACCGTCAAAAGTCCAAATCTTTCGGCGGGTATCTCAGTACTAGAGGATTTCCAGCTAGGAAGGAGTTTAACGTCTGTGTAGAATAATGAAGGATCCATCTAGAGCTCTCCCTCGGGAGTTGTAACATGGGATCCTCAGGACAAGACTCCAGACATCCACAGTCTATTATTGTGAGACAGTAGTATTAAGTTAGAAGCTCCGTTTGACATGGGAAAGAGGAGGGGTGCTGTATGCATGGTATATGTAGGGCATAAGGAAAGCAGGAATTGGGTGGGGATGTCTTTCTCAGTCATCTGCCGCTTTACTTTTTGACAGTCCAGAATCTCTGGACTGAACTTGTATCCTTATTTAAGCAAGACCACGGGCGAGTGAGGCCCAGCCTGCCTGTTTGTCTCCATTCTGCAATGCTGACATTATAGAGCCCCCGGCCCCTCCTTACTCTTTAGGTGGGTTCCAAACTCAGGTCCTCATGTTGTGTAGTAGGTACTTTACCTGCTGAGGCACTGCGCCAGGTCCTGAACAAGTTTTAATTGGCTCTGGCCATAGTTTAGTACAGCTACTACTTGTCTCTGACTCCAGGACTGGAGAAAGGATCTACAGACTGGGGCTAAAGCTAAGCACCAAGCATCAGCACCAGCCTTGGGCCCTGGGGAAGAGGCAGAGCTAGAGACCCTAGGATCTCGGGTACCACTTAGAAGCTACTTTTCACCCACTGGCTGGGACAAGTCTGCAGAGGGAGGATGTGAAGAAGCTACCCATTGATCCTGCAGCCTGACTGCTGGCACCCAGCTCTCAAGCTGCTCCATCAGAAACTCAGCCCACCAGCCCCACCTCTTAGAAATTTTCCATTAGGAAAACTAATCTGGATGAAATTTGGGCCCCAAGAAGAAAGAGGTGGGGCCAGGCTGCCCCACATCTGTTTGAATTTTCCGCTTCAGATGTTTGAGACTGTTTTTGCCAAGCTGCACACCCTGTGCCTACCTGAGGCCCATTGCCAGCAGAAACTGACTTTCCGCTAGATCAAGGCTCGCCCGGATGTTTCTCCCAGGTTGGGCTCTGGGGAGGCTGATGCTGCAAAAGGAGATCAGAGATCTGGCCACCACCAAGGTGTGTGTGAAGGGGGAGAGCCCTCCTGTTTCTGGCTGTCTCCAGTCTCTAAGTGAAATTTAAGACCTTCAACCTCCTGAGCTTTTGGAGGAAACAGAAAATCTTGAATCCTTGGAGATTGGAAACATTCATTTCTAAGCCATTATCTGCAAGGGCAGTCAGTGGGATGTGTGCTTACTTCAGCAAGCCTCACTCCCTCCCATCCAGCTTCACAGATGCAACTGTCTCTTAACTGGAAGTCTTTTCTGGTATGAGCTGCCCAAAAGAATACTATACTCTTCTGCCCTCACTCCGTTCCGTATATAAGTTACACCGACTCCCCTTGGGGGTCATTGTTATTCCAAGACAATTACAATGTTAACAAACCCATTGTTTAAATTATAATTACAGGTAGCCAGAACAATTTCAGAATAATTTGTTCTGGCAGAGGTCAAGACAGTGCCTGTTCCTTCTTAAGTTGTATAAAATGTCTCTTCCTCCCTCCTATCCTCCCACTGGAAGTTACTCCTCTGGAGAAAGTGTTTGCTTTTGCTTGGTCTAGGCATTTAACTGACCCCAGTAATGGGACATGTCTATCTTCTTATGGTGGGCCCAGGAATCAGGTTTCCAGAGTCTGAGGCAAAGCCTTATAATGGGCAATCACAGTGGCAGACTCAGGATACTATTGCTTCTTGTTCCTGTGAGCCTCTCTTTGCCCTGGAGAAAAGAGATATCCCTAAGCCTGGGGCTCTAGTATTGGGGTACAGGGGGCCGGATTTGGGGTACAGGGGGCCGGATTTCGAGAAGAGTAGTTCTAGACTTGGTCATCTAGGATGATTACAGATTCCAGGATGGTGACTCCAGAGGGTCACTCCTGCCTGCCTCTCCCCTTCTCTCAAGAAGATGCATTTAGGGAAACAGAAACTGTCACTAGGAATCTACTGTAGGAATTCTCAGAGTTCCTGAGAGAGGACCACAGGGATGGATGGGGAGGGGGGTGGCTGTGCATAAACGGATCCATTTAATTTTGTCTGGAGATGAAGGGGTAGTCCTTTTTCCCACATGTTCTCTCTCTGTCTTCTAAATCTGACCATGTTTTCTCCCTGGTCTCTGAGAGACACAGCAGCTGAAGAATTACACATGTCTCTCCCTCTCCTGCCCCCTCCCCTTCCTCTGGGACACAGACAGTAGTAACCTCCTGGGGAGGT